GCCAACTAATAAACATAAAAGTCTGCTAAATGAAGATGCACAGGTCTTAGATAACCAAAATACGTCTTTTATGCGAATAAAGCAACAACACAATCATGGCTACAACAAAAAGCACCAGTCTTAGAGGTCGACGGAATAGCACCACCCTGGGTGGACTTGTTGGTAGTCCAAAATGGCGCTTGCTAAGAACAAATCTGATTAGGTTTCGATCTTTCAGCATTTTTTGTGGTTAAGAACAATGAGAATTCGGAAAGATTTTGTCGCAGCAAGTGGATCTTTTCACGCGTGAAATGAGAATAAAAATGGCGCGCTTCATCATTTCATGAGCAGAGTTGTCAAAAATCTGAGACTGTAGCAAGTGGAAAGGATACCAGGTAAGTGCAGACAAGGGATATGCACAAAACGAAATATTTTCAAGACAACATGGTACTATGGAAAACATTGCAAGATGGAATTTCTGAAGAAGAAGGCTTTTTCCTATTCGCGCAATAGTACGGTATTTTTGCGCAGCTTACAGGTTGGAGAATTAAAGACTTATTTACTAGCGAGGTTTCGTTTATACTGAATTGCTAATCTCCTTCGTCATTCTTTTGTTTGAAATAACTTTTTCAATTTTTGGGGATGTGTCGAAGACGTAAAAAAGCTGTACCACGCTTCCTTATAAACTCACGATTTATTGGCTTCATTCAACAATTTTGCTACTACGCTTCGGTTGACTGCCACTCACAACTCTCGGCTTATTAGAATGAAATACACTCAACGTCCCGTTGTAAGCACGTGGTGCAGTACCAGATATGGGACGATAAAACACGTGCAGCCTACAGCTTTGCTTAGTTATGTATAAATAAGCCAAATCCCTTATAAATGTCAATTAAATTGAGAAAAATTAACGTATCATACAGTTTCCAACAGATGATCACCACCCTTTGCTTAATGCTTGAAAGGAAGCTTCTTAAAAGAAGTGTCAGGGCACGGCGTGGACCCTGGTTACGAGTCAAATCACTGTCTTTACAGGGGAGGGACAGCGAATAAATTTAAGGCTAAAACATGGCGAACTTTTCCAACGAGTTACAATCGATCGTCTGGCAGACGTTATGGAAGGAGGGTATTGGAGAGTATTGGACAGAGTATCTCTGTCCAAAAACGTGAAGGAGAACTCTAAGTGATTGATAGAGAAGAAAGCAATCTTCAGGTGCTCGTTCATTTTCTTTCAACGTCTACTTTAGTATGGCGGCCGTTTCTTTGTCCAATTGCTTGACACTAAATTTATATGGTGAGGGTCTCATTGTCGTAGAAATGCAATAATCTACCTTTTTTAAGAAAGAGCACACTTGGATTATTTTACATATTACAATGGCTCCCTTTAAAGCTTATTTTCAACATTTCCCAATCGGG